GGTTTCTCTTAATGTGTAGATTATGTCATTGGGTTTTGCTGGAAATTTCATTGAATGTTTATTCCTTATCGTGATTACTTGATATTATTTACTGAAAATTCTATAAGGCACTTTCAATTAACTAATATTATTTAGGCACATTCAACAAAGCATTTTGATTAATTGATATTATTTAACTAAAAAAATTAATTCAAGAGTATACTACTATGTATTTTGTAGAAACCGAACGGAGCCATCTTTAAGGTTCAGTCACATGAGGCGACAAGTTGCAGGGTCACGTCGCGGGGATTTGTTGCGGAAACAAATTTCATCGTGCGACATATACGAAAATCTCGTCGCGGGGACAGAAACCAGTGTCCGCGACTAGTTGTCGCCTGGAAATGACGTACCGTGCGACCTTTTTCAGGCAGCAAGTTCCCGTGACTAGTCCATGCGACTTTTCCGCCTCGTGTGACCGAACATTTAACCCAAATTAGATTAATGAGTAAAGGAGGATAGTATAGGGGAAGAGAGAGCAAATTAGATTAGTGAGAAAAGTAAGTAGGAATTAGATTAGTGAATAATTGATTTGAAGAAAAAAGAAAAATTAAAAAAAAAAAAAAAAAATTAAGAAGGGAGGATCGGACACACATTCTTAAACATGAATTATTTTTTCAAGAAAGATGTTGTTTAATTAAAACAAAATTAAAGCTAGAAGCTGATCTAGCTAGTGTTTGGTATGGTGCCAGAAAGAATTAAAAATTAAACGGAACTATAATAATTAAGAAAAGAAGAATAAAACGGTCGAATTAAACGACGGAAGATTAGTCGAGTTGAGAAGTAAAACGCATTTTACTGACTAAAAATGTTATGCGCTAACAATGGTTTCAATGTACAGTAAGTTAAAATGTTTTGAAATTAAAATTATACATGAAGAAACCTAAACAATGCACGAGATAAATAAATGATAAGTGTACAAAACGTAACAAGTATATATAGTATTAAAGTACGCAAAAACGAAAAAGTGCAAAACTTTAAACAGAAGATAAAAATGACAATTGATGATGTTAAATATTGATATAATGATTGGCAAATACAAATGGCAATTGATGTCCAAAAATAAGTACCAATCGAAAGTTTTTCAGTGAAGATGTGACAATCGCATTACGATGTCGATGACAAGTTGATAAATTACGAGTAATATTTATTGATAACGTCAACAAAACAACCTCGAACTTAAGTTAAAGTAAAGGTTACAAAATGTTAAAATAAACGGATATGCATGTGAGCATGCATGTGTTAAAATAAATACGGGACGTTCCCAATCAAGACAAATTGTCTTAAAGATGAACCGAATGGGTTAACAAAGTTAAATGAATTGAATTTATTAAAAAGAAAAGTGAGCGAAGAATAATAAGTTAAACAAATACAAGTGTAGCAATCGATGTATAAAATAATTGAAAAATACAAAGGGACGCTAAAAAATGAAAAAATGAAAAAGTACAATAATCAATAAAAAGTGTTGAGCAAAACTTTACAAAGATGAAGTTTAAAAATTGAATATAAAAGTTAAATGGCAGGAATTAAGTTTGTTGTTTAAGATAATGAAAAACGCCGCCCAAGTAAAAAAAACCTTGAATTTGATACAGTGGATTATTTATTATTATAATATTGAGTAAAATGTTCACGAAAGTGTCAGAATAATGTAATTTGAGTTGAGAAATAGAAATTGAAATAAGTATTGTTTCATAAGAATTTGTGCACTATAGAGCAGCTAGTGTATACGTAATATTAAAAGAAATTAATTGTTGTATCTGCATGCAGTTAAGTAGAAGATACGTGTTTTGTGAAGAACAAACCGCGCAACCGAAGCCACAGACCGATGTGAATATGTGAATATTTTTTATATAAAATAGTATTGTAATACGAATACTCAATTTGGTCGAATTGTGACTGTATTTCAAGTTCTTCAAAGTACTAGGTAAACCTGTTGATTGTTGAATTGTCGTAATTACTACGAAAGTGGACTGTAACTATAAGCCTGCTGAATTGTTGTAAAGTATTACGATTAAAATGAGATGCAATTTTTTACATGTGTATTTTGTAAGTTAAATCTTAACACGTCGTCAATTTCTTTCTTGAGTGGCACCGTACACTCAACTGTATAGTAGCTTCTCGTTACATTGACATTGTGTATAGAGAGGACAAAATTTGACTTCCAACACTGACCAACCACTGTATACGACTACTTCTCACTTGGGCAGTATACGCATTTGATTGTTTTAATAATCCGATGTATCAAACACATCTGATTGGTTAGCATGCAGCCCCTTAGTGTAAATGAAATCTGAATCGATCTCTTATATATCAATATATTCACCTAACCTAGCCTGGTCAAATATAACCAGATTCCTGGTTTATAAAAATGAACCAGACTATGGTAGGAGATGAGATTAACGGCAGAAATATTAAATTAAATTAACTCAAATAGGGTTATTTCTAGGTTAACCAGGAAGTTTAACCCGTAATTGTAACGAGTGTTTTAAGATTGGTGATACAGTCGTGCCAATAGAAGCGTTCCGAAAAATGTTGACCAATCAATTTCCTAACTTGAAGGAACACCTCTGAACAATTCCTCAACAATTTGATAAGTTCCTTAAAAAGTTCCTAACTTCCTGTTTCATTGACCAATCAAATTTTATATTTTATTTTTGAGCAATCTGATTGGTTAATGAAACAGGAAGTTAGGAACTTTTTAAGGAACTTATCAAGTTGTTGAGGAATTGTTCAGAGGTGTTCCTTCAAGATAGGAAATGAATTTGTCAACATGGCACGACTGTAATGGTCCTCGAGTCCTGCCATGAAACTGCATATATATCTTGGTCCCTCTCTCCTCCGCAGAGGCTTTTAAAGGGTTAATTTAGAAATAATTTCGTAATTATGCTACAACGTAAAAAAAATGAATGGGCAGTCCTAAATTGTTTTTAGACTTAGCTGGATAACCCCTGTTTCATGCGGTTGTCGGTACGTACTAAAAATTCCATTCACACTGTCACAGGGGATGTCAGTATATACTTGAACCACACTTTATATTTACAATTAATACAATTTTGTAATCTCAATTTTTTGACAACAAAATAAATGAATCCATACAGTGTGTCATTTATAGTGTTTCATCGAGAAAGGTTCAACATGAGAAATTTTTAAATTTTATTTTCAGGAGTTTTTAAATTTTACTTCTATTTAGCTGTCTCCCGTCGGTGGAGATATTAGATAGCTTAAGATCTACGACGTTGACGTCGCTAGGACGTCAGGGCTAAGCAGAGGACTGGGACTAGGATGTCGTCCTTAATAAATAGATAGCTAAATATCTACGACGTCAAATATTTAGGGCGACAAGCGGAATAAAATTGGTAATAGGTTTTGAAGTGTGCATGTGTCTCTCTCAATTTGCTCGTCGTCCACCAAACGTCGAAACCTCACAACAAGAGTTATACCGTCGTGGATACAAGAACATAACAAACGGTAATGAATTCATGTGTCTCTTTAGAATTCATTTTCAAAAGAATGTAAATATTTATAGTTTAAATGTCGACGTCGTGAATCTTAAGAGGAAATTTATTTATTTAGGACGACGTCCTTGTCCCGGTCCTCTGCTCAGCCCTGACGGTCCTATCTGACGTCGACGTCGTAGATATTAAGCTATCTATTATAGAGAGCTTTTGATATACGACGTGGCTAAAGTCGACCGGATGTACGCCCGTATTCTAAAAGCTCACTCGCACTCAATGAGTGGAGGTTCAATCTGAGCTTCTCTTGAGTGTCAATCCTGTATTTGAATGGCTGGAGGGTGAGTAATCACATAGTAACGTACGAGACTATAGCCCTCCAGCTATTCAAAAACAACAATAACACTCGATCGACTGACTCGAGAGAAGCTCAGATTGAACTTCCACGCATTGAGAGTGAGTGAGCTTTTAGAATACGGGCAGTAGTCTCAATTATTTAAAAAAATCGTCAAAATGACACGTAACGCATCTAGCCTCGCAATAATAAGCTTTCAGCCTTTCACGTTACTGAAAGACGTGATAATTCTTAAAGCTTATTAATTAAAGATTGACCACGCTGTTGAGGATATTACCCCTGGAACCACAAATTATTCCATACCTTTTGTCTTGCACGAACAATTTCTTTGTTTTTAAGGCGCGTCGAATTGGTGCGTCGTTCACTTGCCTTTTCATAGATCTCAAAGGTTAGCTCATGATGGCAGCACTTTCTTTGCGATAGTAACTTCTAGTTTTTTGAGATCAGAAAAGTGGAAACACTCATACCCAGATTCATTCACTTGCTTGCAATCAGAAATCAATCAAATTATTCAAATATACAAAATTGCAAATTTAATACTATTTTAAATCATTTTATAATGTTTGTAAAGTGATGGCAATTTGCTGATCAAAGCCTGTAAAGGTACATGTAATCTATTTTATGGGTAGTTATAATATAGTTTGATTAATAATACACAATTACATAATTCGAATTATATAGAGTTTGTGGCCACTGAGAAAAATCGTATTTAAACACACGTAAAAAATACGATATTTTTACGTGTGAAAATATAATTTGTTGTAAAACGCATTGCCACGGACGTTTTATTGTTTTTCACTGAATTTTTTTACATAATAAACAGAAAAATACATGGGTGCTTGGAAATATCAGATTTATTTCTCGTGTTGAACATGATATCTCACTCGTTCGCTGCGCTCACTCGTGAGATATCATGTTCAACACTCGAAATTAAATTTGGTATTTCCAAGCACCCATGTATTTTTCTCTATTTCTACAGTCGGAGGGTCTAAATTGCAGGTTGATGAGATCATAGGAAATCACATCTATAGATGGAGTTTGGTAATATAATCATAAATATGTAGCCCATATCCAACCACCAGTCCTAACCTGCTAATTTAACCTCCACTTTACCAGGGACTGTGGCTGAACCATTTAGGGGGTGGGGGTGGGGGGTGGGGGGGGGGCTAGGTAATGCTGAAGGCATTAGTTTACTAGGAGGGTCCAGGGGGCATCCTCCCCCAGCAAATTTTGAAATCTGACTTAGACCTCCCAGAGCCCTGAAATGCAATCAAATTTACTAGTTGCTGTTAAAAAGTTTCTTAATATATGACTCTTAATCTATATTGGGTTGTTCCAGAAAAGATTCGTACTCCCCCCACGGAGGAAATTTCTGCCGTCCGGAGGGGGAGGGGAGAAAAAATTGTTTCTGATAATAGTAAATGTATTAGGACATCCGAAGGGGGTAGGGGGGTTAACTTCCTATTTCCTCCGTCGGGGTGGTATGGATGTTTTCTGGAATAACCCATTCCTAGGACTGTTCAGTATACCGATATACCAAAAATATCGGTATTAAATCAATATCGGTATATCGATACCAGATATTCATGCAACCATACCGATATACCGAAATTTCCAATATACCGGAATTTTTCAGTATATCGTGTTAAATTTACCAACTATATGGCAAAACCATAACCTTTATTTTACTACTGAATGGCAATTCAAAGAACTTTCTACTGCAATGATTTAGAATTTCCACTTCATGAGAGTTTACACTGAGTATGTGTCGTTCGAAACATGTTCGAAAGAGCTTCGAAATTATCGTTTTTATTTTCCCTTTTAGAATTACTCAAACTTTCCTTCAAATTTCCATTAAAGAATTTTCCTTTATAATTATCAAAGGAAAACCGGTATACCGATAATATCGGTATAATTTTTTCAGTATACCGATACCGGAAATTTCTCGTACCGAACATTCCTAATATTACCCATCATTTGTTTAATCTAATTAACCAGAAATAGATTGAATACTTAAAAGTGTAAATTTTGGAATGTGGTGGACAATAGACACTTCCCGAATTTGCTTGAGTGCACACGAAACAATAGCTTGGAATCGAGGCGGACAATGTAATCCATTGGAAATAAGTATAGTTTTCCAATGGATTACGGCTATCGCCTGGTACTGATCTGTCTGGATTTATTAAAACCATGTTAAAGTACACATGTTCAGGAGCATTGTAGGGTAGTTTCATCAATTGTTCTTCCAGGCTTCAAAAATTTCACCATTATTATAAATGATAGATGCTGATAATTCATCATTGTTATGTTCATACAATGTATTAGTTATTATTTACACCTATCATAACACTGATATCAGAATATCAGGAACTTTTAAGAATAAAAAGGAAATTTGGTCTGACGTT